CATGGAAACACTAGGGCCTCCAGGGGGGGCTGGGAGCCATGGCGCTTGACACGAGCCATAAGGTGGGCTGCGGAGGAGCGGCGCTCCAACCTTTTGGACAGGGTCCATTCCTTTTTGGTCGTTGAAGCAGGGCTTCATATCTCCAAAGCTTTCTGCAGTGAGGGACCCTTCTCGTCCGTGATGGTGCGAGCCATGAAGCGGGTGGCGACATCAACCATGACCAGGATGGCAATCTTGCGGGTCTTGTTCTTCTTGTGGCCAGGTTCGGTCACCATAGCAACTTCATCCAAATCAAGCCAAAGAACATCAGCTTGGAGCTGGTTGTTGAACTCTGTTGGTCGATCAAGGTGTCCTGGTGCATTGCCCTTCTTCACAGAGTGGATCTCGCAGAAGGGACATTCCAGATCTTGGACCGCTGCCAACACCTGTGGACTGCAGTTCCTGCTCCTCAGGGCATGGAGCTAGACTTCTTTCCGTGGGTGTCCAAGGTTGCGATGAAGTCGCTGCGCGATCCGAGCTGGTTGGAAGCCAACTTGCGAAGTGCTCCTGTGAGAGGCGCTGCATCTTCGGAAACTGCATATACTTGTTCATGTAGACCTTCGTCAAGTAGAAGGGCTCGAACCAGGTGGGCTGCCATTTCATCTTGATAGTTTTCAGCTCGGCGGCATCGGTTGCGACCTTCAAGTCGTTGACGTTGATGTGAGCCATCGCATCTCTTGGTCATGATCTCAAAAATTGCCCATTTGGTGGTGCTGATGCGGGTGGTATTCAAGATCGGCTGCTCGATGCCATTGTCATCAGGGATGGTGGCACCATAGGCACATTGATCGAAGATTGCCTTGTGCTCAGGCAAACCTGAACTGCTTGGTCACCCAGGCCAGGCTAGGCGAGGATGTTCGACGTGGGCGTGTGCTCCTCGTCGGACCTGTTTCATGTAGAGCTTCTCGCGCATTGTCAAGTGGGTCTCGGCGTCGATCTCGCGCCGTTCAGCCAGATCAGCGGCCTGTTCAGCATTGGAGACGTTGATTTGTTGCATCCTCGACCATAAAGTGCACTTGAGGGACATGAAGATCTTGTCCGGCTCCAAGTCGTCGGCCAACCGCAAGAGCTGCTTCCTGTGTGAGGCTTTGCTGAAGTCCCAACCGTCTTAGAGTTTGGAGACCAAATCTCATGACTTCAACATCGCCATGAGCTTCCAGAAGCCTGGTGATCTTGCCTTCTCCAGAATAGACTTCCCAGATCAGCGACGGTGTTGTCCTCGATCGCGAGCATGAAGGATCTCCTGCCTCTGTCTCTTGACTCTTGAAGTTGAGCCTCAATCCAAGACATGGTCTTCTGAAGCTGCTCGATGGTTTTGCGGGCTTCGTCAGGCAGAAGAGGTCGTTGTTCATCATTGTCCTCATCGACAGTGGCGAAGGTCTCTTCATGGTCGTGGAGCGAGAAGTAGGTCTTGACCTCTGTGGTCATCTCGAAGTAGCGCTCGTGAGCGTTGAGACTCATGGAGGTTCGTGCTCTTGTCGTGGCCGTCCTCGCAGCGGAAGTCGAAGACAGGCTCTTCAAAGTCCTCAGGGTGCTTGACTTCTGCTGCCATGCGAAGGAGCATAGCACCTTGTCTGCCACGAGGGGCATCACGCCATTCTTGATGCAGTAGTCTCATCTTGGACTCGCCGAAGTTGATCTCGGCCTGCAATGCCTCGAGGATAGGCCCCATAGACGATGTAGGCTTGGATGCGTCCAGGATGGCCAGACATTCTGACTGGGAGTTCAACCATCCATCGTGAGTGTCCGGAGGCGTCTCCGCCAAACTTGAAGGACTTGTCACACCTCTTGAAGATGAGCTCGTCCATGGGATAGCCAATCATCTCAAGCCACTTGATGTAGCGAAGGGCGTACTCAGAGCCGATCAAGAAGGAGCTTGCACCTTGGTCTTGAATGCAAGTGTCAGGCTCGTTTGTCAGCCAACCTCCGACTCGGACCAACACTTCACCTTCAGCATAGGCATCCTCAATCTCGTAGAAGATGTCCTCGCGCGGTGACCTCACCCTCGTCCATGTCGTCGTAGGTGTGTTCGATGTTGATGACCATGTTGATCATCGGGTCTTCGAGGTCAATCACGCGCTTCTTCGGCGAGGATCCGCCTGTCTGCTGAGCTGATGGGCAGTTGGCTGCAAAGTGTCCGGCCTTGCCGCATCGAAGACAAGTGAAGGCTGCTTTGGCTCGGCTCTTCCCAGTTGGACCTTTTGACGATCCCTTGGAGCCATTGTTCTTGCCCTTGGACTTGTTCTTGGATTTTCCACCTTTTGCCGAGCCCTTTGGGTTTTGAGCAACTAGTGGGGCTTGACCTTTCCATCAACAACAGCCACCACTGAGTAGAATCCTCGGCTTTGGCGAAGTTGGTTGAACCTCTGTTTGGCATCAACGTAGTAGGTGGAATAGACCTCGTCAAACTCCTCGGTGTCATAGATGTTCTCAGCGTCGTCGATGGTCTCCTCATAGAAGGTTCCATCAGGGAGTTCGGGCGCGTCCTGGTAGTAGGACTCTTCAGCTTCAAAGAACTCGTCAGCAGCATCATCATCCCAAGTCATGTGAACTGACTGCTCGGGGCCTTTTCCATCGAAGTTGCTGCTGTCAGCGGAGATGACGAGGGACATGGACCTGCTGGTAGTCCTGTCCGAACAACAGGAAGAGGGACTGCTCCACAGCGCCCAAGGCCAGCACCGACCCGATCTGGGTCTGAACCATCTGCTCCTGCTCGCAAGTCAGTCCTGCTCGCTTGAGCATCATCCAGCCCGTCACCTCTTCAGGGAGGTCGACCTTGTGCTTGGTCACCTGGCGCAACACCTGGTGGAACTCGGTGGTGTACCCCAGGAGGGTCTGCTGCTGTCGGCGCTTGAGCTTGAAGAAGAAAGCGTCGAAGTTGTTCGGCATCTCGACCTTGACGTCAAAGGACCATTGCTTGTCCAAGCGCTTCAACAAAATGCTGAGGCCTTCCTCGGATTCCAGCTCTTTCAAATCCAGGTCTTCGCATTGAGTCCAGCTGGATCCCTCTAAGGTTGACAGCACGTTGAGCGCTACCTCGGTCTTGCGAACTTGAATCTCCAGCTTCCGGGCATAGAGAAGGACCCTGCGCCGCCATTCCTTGTAGGAGGTCGTTGTGTTCTCGAAGCGCGACGCATAGTTGTCCTTGAGATCTCGGCTACCGCCGGCGCCATTGGCCAGTCCAGACGAAGCGGTCGCAGAGGATGAGGTTTCCCTCCGCGAGGGCGATCTGCCAGCCATGAGCGCATGCGGGAGCCGTCACTTTGGACGGCTCCGCTGCCAATGTGAAGGTATGGAGTAAAATACCTAACGCGTGTGACCGCTCGAAGTGTCAACGTGGGACATGTGAAGCGCACATCCTTTTGCGTGCCGAGTGAACAGCTCAAGGGGCCCCTGTCGGGCCAAAGGTTCATTGAGCCATAAGCGGCGATTGCGGATCATGCTCACCGCACATGTGAAAAGCTTAAAGCTCAAGCTTAAAGCTCAAACTCATGTAGCTACCATGGGCGGCGCCCATTTCACACTATTGCTTTTGTACTCATATACATATATTATGTATATATATATATATATTCCTGTCTTCTGTTTTCCAGGATGGAACATGCGGAGGCTGTCTTGTGGCGGAAGTGAACATCTTGAAGAGCTAAAGGAACAAAGCTGTAAGGATTGTCAATCACCTGAAAATCTGCGCGACGGCCTACAAAAGGAAATTGTCACCAAGGCTGTTCGTTTCCAGGGTGCTTGAAAAACCTGCTCTTACGCATCGACACGGTCGCTAGGAATGAGCACTAAAGAAGATTCAAGTCAATGAGAAGTGTGGAAGTTTGTTGTTGCGCTTTGTAAAATCACTATATTCATGGTGGTGGCAAGGATGTAGGACTGTAGTTCTGTCTGTGGGTCCTGGGCTGTACGCTGCTGGCATGCGACGGCGGGCAAACTCACAACGCCAATCTGAATTGTAGCGCTGGGGACCCTGCATAAACCTAAAAACCAGTCCAGTCTATTCTGAATCTTGAGTGACAAGTTGCAGAGGCCCGCAACCAACAAGTGTGCCTCCCATACAAAATGCGCCAGGACCGCCCAATGCCCAAACCAAACCAGAGAAACAGCCCATAGCGTGCCACGCGAAGCTCAAACAAGAGCAAAATGGAACATCAGCTGGATCAGTCACACCTCACCAAGACCGTGCAAACGTGCTTGTGCTGGGATGGTGCTTTGGGCAAGAGTGGAGCCGACATGAACGAAAAACAAGGTAGAGTAGAGCGCCTCTTTTGATGCTTCGCTGCAGGTATGGAAACTGGGGTGCGCGTTGGAAATGCGTCACCCTACACAGGGGTGGAGGCACAAAAGAAGTGCGAGCGCACCTCATCCATGGCGGCAAAGGCGCGCCGAGAACCCAGGGGCCTTCAACAAAGGCCAGTGACCAACCGAAACCGTGGCGTCACAAGTGTTCTTGTGAAATCTTAGCCGTCATAGCTTTCCGACGGACTTGCCACCAACAGGCTTTTGAGGCTCTTGGCTGTTCTTATGAAGACCCAGCACTTCTAAAGACCCAGTGAACCTCTTCCAAGTAGCCTTGTCCTTTCTTGTGTCAGATCCTTGCCGCTGTGGCCCTTCAGCGGACTTTCCATCAGAGGGCTCTTCGAAATTGGGGTTACGCGGTGACATCACGAAGGGATTAGGCGTCGTTACAAAATTGTTTCTCAGAGATTTGCAAGCAGAACGACGAGCAAACACAACTGCAATCACGCGAAGCAGGTTGAGCTTGCTTGATGCAACCCATAAGAATCCTTGTCAGTCGCGTCGGTTGCAATGATGTGTAAGCAAAGTGTCTTACTCTCTCTTGCTACAACAAAAGTGAGGAATTGCACACCCAACATAAAGTGGGACAGCGTATCCAACTGGTATAGACGCCATAAATTGACTCATGCTGGAGAGCTACACCATCCTACATGACCCGCCTATAAGCTTGTTTGCATTGGCGGCTGTTAAACGCACATCTAGTCCAAGGACCTCAAGACTCTGAATTGAGAAGGCGTTTCCAGAGACTTCGCGTGCAAAAAGAAGCTTCTCTCTGAAACAAACCATTTTGCCATGTCAGTCAGTGCTTGTGTCGACAGAAGGCCGGACTGCTGCAAAATGGACTGCCAGCAGCCACGGTCCACGACTAGCCTGGATGCAAGGCCTGAAATTGCAGCCAAGTTATATATACAGTACATATATAAGTTGAAATAGAAATCAGAAACAGTATCGTTCTCAAAGGTCTATTGATTCGATCCGCTTTGATGGCCTCGAAGTGAAGTTGCAAAGCTCATAGATGACCACAGGAGTCTTCGAACTCTCGGTTAGCCAGTAGGTGTCCACCTGCTTGTTGATGGACAATGGTCACACATGAACGAACAATCCGAACAATCGCCAGTGCGCGTTTGCAACACTCGCCTTTTCACAGCGCACTGGCATCTCATTCGAAGAAAGGCTCTCTATGCTGGACTGTGCACTGCGATTAGTGCAACTGGACACAAAGCATATGCAAAGTACTTATGCTTCATTCTGTCTTTATGGCAATGCCATGAAAAGCTGGAGCCTTAGGTCACAAAGGCAGCTCAAAGTATGAAGCCTGGAATCAGATTTACATGATATGTACATAAGCCTCTAGAATACGCACCGAAAACAAAAATTGGCTGACTGTTTACATCTGCTCACTCACAATTGTAAGGAAGCGCAATCGCGCTGACCGTGCTATCGTGTGCTGATCTTTGCAGCCAGGGGGCGCCGTGACACTGATTTCTGTCCAAAAACAATACAGTAGCCATTAAGGCCTTTCAGAGCAGCTCATGACTGTTTCTTCTCTCTGGCCTCTTCAACCACCTGGCACTGAGCATTCGCCACAGCGTCCAGACTTTTCTACTTGACTAGAGCCTGAGAATATCAATGTTCTTACCGCAACTGTGAGCCAGTGCAGCTTGCCAAGCCTTTCTGCCAGCTCTTCTTTGCAAACAGAACAGGCAAAGAAGGATAAAGCAACCTAAGACGATTTGACGCAAAAACGAAACTCGTGTATGTACACATCAATTGATCTGGGGTCTCTGCACGCAAAGGCGACCTGGCTAAAAATTGATGTTCTGCACCGAAAAAACAAAGTATGCAAAAAGCAGCCAGCCAAGCTCCACATACAGCAGTCATGGCTTCGTTCCATCTGGCCTCCCAACAAGCAAAGCTAGTTCAATTTTCACACTCTAGATTCGATTCTTGGCTCAGGTTCGTACCCATGCAAAAACCAGGAGCACGTCCACTGGGCTCTTGTCTGGAAGCGACCACGCCTCGCGATGGAACCCCTTAGCTTTTGAATTGTCATTTCACAGCATCCCTCTCCCTAAACAATCTCGCCCCCATGCGCATTAGTATGAATTGAGGTCCTCTCAACTTCGCCGGAGGTTCGCGGTGTGGCCTTTTGATAAGAGTCTTAATGTTGGCGCTCAAAACAATCGACTCGGTCCTACAAGGCCTTGATTCGCATGCCATAGGCTTCTGGTACACATTGGCATTCTGTATTCGCCTGAGTGGAGCCCTTACACCGACACAACGCATCTGCATTGTATTGCGCTGCCTCGCATATTGCAGCACTCACAAACAAGTCCGCCCGTGCCGAAGGTGCTGAGGAGCATGATTGGGATGGGACACGAAAAGCTGAGTTCCTAGAGCTTTAGTTCGGGGGCCTCTTTCTCTTGAGAACGGAAATGCCTACAGTCGGTGATGGGAGAAAACATGCAAAAACACAGGGCGATGAAGGTTTTGCGACCTGACATTTGATGTGGAGGTGGTGTTCCATATGATCTGGGACAGGAGTAACCCCTTTCATGGCCCTGGTGATGCCAATATTGCAATAGTGAGACATCAGTGAGATTCATCAACTGCAGCATGGTGGTCGACGTCTGATTCGGTAACCAAAACCGCTGATTCGGTAACCAAAACCGCTGAT